AGAGGAATGTGCATTCTCATGTTTATATGTGCAGTCCCATGTAAAGTGCAGTTTGTGTGTGTGTGTTCTCTTGCAGAATAATGTGAGAACAAAGGGAATGAATTGAGGGTTTTCAAAAATCATCCAAAAATGGGAAGTAACGTCTGTCTCCTCTTGTATAGACACCACAACTGAGACAGACAAATCTGATCTTGCAACACATCACAAAATCGCTATGGCAGCCTGGCTGAAGTTGGCACATCTGTTGTGGTTGCTGCACCAAGGCTCCCTGTTCCACTGACCAGGATGACCGGAGAGAGGGCTTAGAATTGGCAAGTGCACAGGATGTGCTTGCTGCAACCAGGCCACTCCCATCAACCCCCCCCACCCCACCCCCAATTTGTATTCAGCCAGCATAAGTAGGTTTGTGGTTGTCACTGCCAATAATCTCTCTCCTAATCTTTGCCATCCTAGGCTGTTTCTACAGTTCTTCCCATTGCTCTTATTGCCACTGCAAATGCACATGTTCTGTGTATGAGAAATTTCTGGGCACTTTTCTTCATCTGTTTTCTGACTATTGTGCTTAGACTGGCATTATTTCCAGTGGGACTGGAGTAAAACAGGTTTGGGAAAGAGGACAGCTACAGCTCATTATTACGTAGGAGCTCAAAAAAAACACACACACACCCAGCTTTGGAAACCAAGATGGAGGAAAACCTCCATGTGGAAGTAGCTGTACCCTCGTTTGGGACGAGAAATTACTATACGTTTATATTCAATTTCATATGTAATATGGCTTTCTCATTGTTGGAATGCTGGTCAGTAGGATAAGAGAGACTTGTACTGCATGTTTCAAATATTATACATTGTAATGTTCTGTTTCCAAACTTCTGTAGTAAACAGTGTCTTGGACTGTGTATTTACTAAATTGATCTAGATATGTGAGAAACTAGTAGGTGATGTGTTTTATATGCTCATTATAATCTAAAAGTGTGTGTCTCAATTAATAAAACAAAATATTGGGTAGGCCACCTAAGAGAACAACAAATAAAAGAAAAAAATACATTTTAGAACATTTTTAACGAGGTATAACTTGCCTACCTGACAAGGCACTTTAACTGACATTTACCTAAAAGAAGTGTACAAAAACAGTCAAATAAATGAGGAAAATTGCTGGAAAATCAGATATTAGTAATATCAAATACAGTTCAGGTAGTGGAGGATGTTAATTTAACAGTGAAACCTTGAAATGTCAGGGACAACTAAAAGATGTCATAGTGATACGTTGTTCACCCTCTTTATTTGCAGGATCAGATAAGTGGAGTGTACAGGAGAAGAAGCTCTTCAATAAAGGCATTGCTATCTACAAGAAAGACTTCTTCCTAGTCCAGAAACTTGTGAGTTGTTTGTCATTTACCTAGCACATTGCAAAAGAATTGATTTGCGGAACAGATGTAGGCGTCATTGGCTTGTTTACCATAATGTTTTCCAGCCTCTAGCTAAATGCTCCAGTATTTTTACGTTATGTAATGAATTGGAAATGCCAGTCATCACAATACCATTTCATAGGAGATGTTTTATCTTACATACAGATAATCTCCCCATTGAGGAGGCCTGTCATGTATGCTGTCATGTATGAAGTGGGCGTAAGAGGTTTATTTTTATTTTGTCCTTGTTTGTCTCATGGCGAAGTCATCTCTTGTACAACCTCAAGTGTGCTTGTACATTATTTTGTACCTTGAGGTGATGTCTGTAAAAGAAAAATAGCCCATGTGAAGCAGTACTGAGAACTGCAGTGATCACAAACTTAAAATGGATGCTTCTGGTGTCTTGAGGTTGGAATGTATGCCTTAAATATTGAAGATAGACATTTGTTCAATGTTTCATATTGTGGTGTGCTACCTGCCATCAAGTTCATCATCGATATCCTGTGCAGTCCCACATGGGAACTGCGCATGAGCAGGCCTGCCATTGGAGAGGGTTTTACAGTTAAAAGCCTCTGGGGAGCGCTGCATGCCGAAGCCAGAAACTTGTTCCCGCCCAGAAACCATGTGCTCCTGTGCAGCAGCGCCCCCACCCTCAGTTTTGCTACCAAAAGAGAAGGCCTTTTTGGAGTCTACAATTTTTCACGTTGGTGAGGAATTGCTTCCCTGGTTCGCTGGGGTTCTTTTGGCCTCTGAGTTCATACCATGGCTTAGGAAGCCCTTTTCAAAAAATGCACCTGTTGTGAGGTGAAGATGACCCAAACCGATGAACACGACCTTTATCTGTTTTGTTTGGGTGAAGAGCACAACGTCCCCTCACAAAAGGCCTGTCAACTCTTCACCCCCAAAGTTTGGGGGGGATGGGGCATCAAAACTTAAAGCAGCATTGTGGGAGAATGCCCTCAAAACCTAGAAGCCTTCATCCAAGTTGGCCCGAAAAATTGTCTAACTCCGCATCCTTGGAGTCGACGTGTTGAGCTCCACCTCCCAGATTCATGTCACAATGGGTCTGATCCAGGTCATGCTCCCCTCCAGCTCATTGCGCTTCTTTCGCGCCACCAGCCAAGAGGACAAAGACCAAGGATAAGGACAAACTCAAATCTGTGTCTGAATAACATCTTCCTGTCCGCACTCGTGAGCTTCGTCCAACCCCACAGGAGAAGCCTAGGACTCCGTCCTTGGGTCTCAGATCACTTCCAATCTCTCTCTTGAATGGGGAAGTAGAAGTGGGCTTACCAGCTGGTGAAGTCCCTCGTGATTCTGAACCGGAGCAAATGACCATGGTTCCATGGTCTCAGCCTCAACCACCTATGTGATGGCTGTCTTCTTACCCATGCATGATGTCTCCAAGCTGTCTGGAAGAATGGAGTAACAGCTTCGCTTATCCCAGGAATATGAATTTTTATCACTATCCTCATTGGGTTTTCTTTTATCTGCCTTCCGCAACTGTGTCATGTGGGCCTCGCTCTCCTATACCTGCTGTGAGGGTCATGTCACAATGGGTCTGATCCAGGTCATTCTCCCTCCAGCTCATTGCGCCTCTTTCGCGCCTCCAGCCAAGAGGGCGAAGACCAAGGATAAGGACAAACTCAAATCCTGTGTCTGAACAACATCTTCCTGTCCGCACTCGTGAGCTTCCTCCAACCCCACAGGAGACGCCTAGGACTCCGTCCCTGGGTGTGAGATCACTTCCAATCTCTCTCTTGGATGGGGAAGTAGAAATGGGCTTACCAGCTGGTGAAGTCCCACGTGATTCTGAACCGGAGCAAATGACCACGGTTCCATGGTCTCAGCCTCAACCACATATGCGATGGCTGTCTTCTTACCCATGCATGATGTCTCCAAGCTGTCTGGAAGAATGGAGTAACAGCTTCGCTTATCCCAGGAATATGAATTTTTATCACTATCCTCATTGGGTTTTCTTTTATCTGCCTTCCGCAACTGTGTCATGTGGGCCTCGCTCTCCTATACCTGCTGTGAGGGGAGAGAATGCTACCATTGAATCCAGTGGATCTGACACTACATCGGATCCTAGTGCAGATGAGAGGGTGGGCGAGCCATTTCTGACTTCCCCTATGGAAGATCTCTGAATGTATGGAGAACAGATGATCCATATGTATGATCATACTCAGATGCCATGCTTGGTTAAGATCAACGGCATTGCCTATAGAGACCAAGCACAAGATTGAAGACTTACCTTTCAAGGGTTTGACACTCTTCTCTATCAGGACAGATGAGATGTGTCCCTGATGAAGAACAAGCAGTCGGTTAAGTCATTGAGTATCACATTCGACCCTGTCCCAATTCAAGCAAAGGCCCTTTAGTACAGCAGCCCTGGCACCTTACCAGAGGGATTACTGCTACGCTAGCCCTTTGGGGCCTCAGTATCCTACCCCTAAGCTGTATACCCCACAACAGGGTTATCAGAGGCGTAAAGGTTCCAGCTGACCTAGGTTGACCCTGTGGAACTGCATGGAAGATTGATGATGAAAACAAAATTGCACTTACCTGTAACTATTGTTCATCGAGTATCTTCTGTGCAGGCACACAGACCCTCCCTCTTGCCCCACTGCATGCTCCTTGCTTTGGTGGTGCTAGAGGAACTGAGGTTGGGGGTGTTGCTGAGTGAGAGCACGTGGTCCCTGGGTGGAAACAAGCTTCTTGCTCTGGTGCACAGTGCCTCCTGGAGGCTTTTAGCTGTAAAAACTTCTCTGATGGCAGGCCTGGTCATGCGCAGTCCCCATGTCTTACCTGCACAGAAGAGGCTTCATGAACAGTAGTTACAGGCAATGCTCCCTCTAAGCTGTGGAGTCTTGTGAGCAAAGATTCTACTTTGTGAGCTACTGGCATCAAAGTTGTGAGTGAGGGATTTGGCTGGTGCATAAATTAAGTTTGCTCTGGAGCCGTCCTTCCTGAGCTAAGACAAAAATATGTGAGCTGGAGGCTAAAAAACTGTGAGCTAGCTCACACTAACTCAGCTTAGAAGGAACACTGGTTACAGGTAAGTGCAACTTTGTTTTTTTCTAGGGCATGATGTGAATGATGGAAAGGGCTATAAGGAGAAGCTTGAGAGAGCCCACTTGGGGAAGAGTTGAAATTCTGGAAAGAAAGGGCAGTGAGGTGGATTCAGCCACTCTGCTCAGCAAAGTCCTGAAGCCTTCCTCCAATTTGTGTCTCCAACAACAGTGGCTGGATCCATACCAGTGCTGGATGTTTTTGCTAGGAATTTTTGCCTTGGTGGGGTAAACATTGGAAACACTGTTTTTTAAAATATTTAAATGCTTGTTTTCATATTATAAACTTCCTGAGTCTTTGGGATAGAATGAAATAAAAATATCAATATAAATCAATTTTTGCTTTTTTTGTTGGTTTTTTTTTTTAAAAAATAGTGCAGTCCTTTGCAGAGCTACTTCATTCTAAGCCCATTGAAATCAATGGGTTTAGGCTGAAGTAACTCTGTACAGGATTGCAAGGTAACCATGATGAAGTGAAACACTAGGCTGTGACCATAATCCAGAAAACTTGCATGACTGTGTGTGCTCTGTGTATCTTTTGGGTCTCCTTTTTTACAAAAGCAAACAGCCCTTCTGTATCCTTGCCTCTGTATAACAAACAATTTTTGAAACGCAGGAAGTTTCAAGAGCAGTTTTCCAATATGGCAGGCAGGAGTGAGGAAGGGCTGCAGTTGACAAGGAAAATAAATCAGTTGTTGTGCTGGAAACAAGCCAGCTTTTGGCAGAAGAAGCTGATGGGAATCTCAGTATGACCTGTATTGAAGCACATGGGTAGACCCAACCAGTACTTTTAAAAAGAAAGTGTAAACAACTTGCCTCTTCTGTACCACTTCTCCCTCAATATTACAGATAAAAACCAAGACTGTAGCCCAGTGTGTGGAGTTCTATTATACATATAAAAAACAAGTGAAAATAGGCCGCAATGGAGCCCTAATCTTTGGGGATGTCGATGCTACTACTGAAAGAGGTGTTAAAGATGAAGCTGAAGTAGATATTAAGGTAACCTGCCAGATCCCTTTGTGGTTCTGAATTCTTATGTGGTGTTTTGCTATGTAAATACTATGTGTGTGCTTTATTTCTATGTTTTAATGTGGAGTTTTAAATGTATGTTGCCGTGATCTGAAATGTAGGCCTGTAGAGTAAGAAACGGGGGCTGGATGGGTTGAGTGAAGTGTGTTATGATTGGATGGTAGCTGTACCCTCGGGGGAGGAGTTGACGGCGTTGTTCAGAGAGAGTCTTTTGTGTGACTTTTTGAAACCACTACACTTATTAACCACACAGAAACCGTTATACTGTTTTACTTATAAATAAACTCTGTTCATTTTTAAGAAAAACAACTGTTTGTTTTAGAGAAAAGGATCCCTTTTTACCTCTGAGCCACCCCCAAATGCTGACTGTTCTGTCATTCTACCATGTACAACTACGTCATCCTGTTCTTTGGGTCCAGCTAAGAATTCTAAGGCAAAAGCCTTTGGTGGCAGTGAAAATAAGGAAGGCAAGGAGGCAGTATAACCCACATCACCTCAGAACTTTACAGGGAGGTGCCTTTGCTGTGGTTATACATAAAAGGATAACATAGAGAAAGAGAAAAACATTACAGCTTACTTTGGCACTAGATAAAAAAATCTATGTTTGCTATCTGTAACTTGATAAGAAGGCGGTGAAGCCTGAAAACATAGTTTCTTCTCAAGTGTCACTAGCAGAAGTCCTTTGGGAAGGTGTTACTGGATCCCATTGGCTTCAAAGAGATGTTTGCTCAATTACCTGTCTTTGTGCTGAAGTGAATTTTGAAGAATATTCTGACTTTCTTTTTCCTTATGAAGAGTTCCCATAGGCTTACACGTACTCTTCCTCCCAGAACATATAATGAAGATTATGAGAACAGTGACGATGAGGAGGAGGAAGAGGAGAGAGAGGAAGAATTGACCATAAAAGAAGAAATAATAGAAGAGGAAGAGCTACAAGTCAAGAACAGCAGCACAATGCCTTCCAAGCCCACACAGGTTTTACACACCAAAGACCAGGTGAGTGTTACATTGAGAGACTTGTCGTAGTTCACAGTTATACTTAGCATTTTACTAAGTAACTGACTGGCTCTGAGCAGAGTGGTGTGTTTCCCCCCCTCAGTGTTTCCAGTGGTTGAGAATATTTTTTTATGATAGGCTGTGAGGCTTGGTATTCTCTGTTCTTCTGTGCATTCAGACACATGTGAGTTACAAATGATTCTAGAGCTTTAGCCAGGGAACCAGAGTTCACCCTTCCACAGAGTGGTTCTTAGCATGTGTGCAGGCCACTAGAGGCAGAGCAAGCACCTTCCTGCTTATTAGTTGCTGTAGATTTTCCGGGTTGTGTGGCCTTCCTGCTTACTTTGTAATATGTATTTTCAAGGTGCCTTTTTCTCCACTGTGTAAAAGCCCTGTTTTCTGTTAACTGACATGCCAGCTGCCACTGCCTGCAGACAGAAGTGGCATGGGCTCACAGTCCCAACCATGGATGCTGCCCACTGATGCTGCCTGTTTGCATGAGGTGCCTATGGCCAGGATCCTGCTGCCAGGATCCCTTTCTCCCACACCCCATGCTGCCAATCAGCTGCTTGGTGAGTACGGATTTAAAGGGTCAGAATGCTGTCCATCCCAGCCCTCTAAAGCTCTGTCCCACTATACAAAAGTAGGAGGGGACAGTAGACATGTTCCAGCAATGGCTGGAATGTGCCTCTCATATGCTTCTTTGTACCACTGAGCAGCTATGTGGTGGGAGGGGATTTAACAGGTGACAACGCTATGTGACCCAGCCCTTTAAATTGCCTCCCACTGCACAGGTGTGCAATGGTATAGGGGGTGTTCTGGCCATGGGCACCTCATCCTGGAGTCTACCAGGTCAGCTCCTCCATATGTTTTCCTCCATATGTTTTCAGGCTGGGGAAGCAGGAAGTTGGTGCCTGCTTGGTTAACTTGCATCTTTGGTTAACTGGCAGCCCCAGTTCCCCAACCAAGTTGATGAACACTGCTTTTACTGTACTTTTTTATGGGGAGTGGCCGTGGCTCCGCAGCAGAGCCTGGAGACCTGCCCTCAGTTAGAATAGCCAGTATTGACTTAGGTGAGCCAGTGGTCTGATTTGGTATAAAACAATTTGATATGTGTTCACCTTTTAGGAATTCTTGGTATATCTTGTTGGTAATAATGATCTCTTTCCATGAAGGCTGGCAGCATCCTTTCAGAAAGGTGTTGGGAGTCCGGTGCTCCTCGAGGGACAGAATCTAGAGGGAGAGCTTCAAGGAGGACAAAAGAGACCCCCATTAAATATCGAAGGACTTCTCCACCTGCACAGAAGAGAAAAAGAAAGCCAAAGCCTAAACAAGACACCACCACCAAAGGCCAGAACCAAGAGGAAGAATTTCCATGTAAAAAATGTGGCAGGTAAGGTGGGAAAAAACTTCAGAGGTGGAAAAGAAAGGTTCTGGCATTCCATCTCTACCACAGGGAGTCATGAATGTGGAAGTAACAGCTTAGATGGCTGTGTTTGTCCAACTGCTACTTGCTTCCGGTAGCTGTAGATTGCAGAGGTAGCCTTGTTTTACAGCCTTGTTTAGCTGCCACCCAATGGCCTCAACTCAGAAGGGTAGAGAAATTTACAGGTATTCATTTACTCTTCCTTATGTTGATCCTCGTCCTGCTCTGTCTGAGGCAGGCAGTTGAGACTCCTCATCAGCCAGTGTCCTGGGCCTTTAAGAAAGGAAGAACAATGTGTGCATCCCTCTCAGGGCCCCTGACTGCTCACAAGAGGCCCGGAGGCCCTTCTCTTCATCATTGTGGCATTGGGGGGGGGGGGCTTTCCTTTCCCTGCAACTTTCTGCCAGTGCTGCTGTTCAGCTATTGTGGTGGAGCCTCAACACTACTTACCATCATGAGAAGCCACCAGTGGCCGGGGGGGGGGGGGGCCCTCGCTCCGGGACTGGATGACGTCACATATGCCCAGAACTGCAGAGATGTCATGACTACCCTCAGCAGATGTCATACTTCTTTACTGGCATGAACAAAGAGATTCCCATAGTCACTTCTTAGAGGAGGAGTTTAAGCAGAAACTCAGGACATGGTGGTTACTATAACAGCAGGCACTAGTCGAGAACAGAAAAAGAAGGCTTATTAAGCATGAAGCAGCTTCACTTCAGGTTGTACATTTGGCATGTCTTTCTCAATCTACTGAAGCTAGACTAGGAAAAGAGTGTCTGTTGCCTGCAGGTATCGTTATGTTGGAACACTGGGTTCTCTGCCAGGATTTCATGAACTTAGTGAACCAGAAGCCTTGAGATCTGAAGAGAATGGAATCTTCCCAGTATGTTTACGTGATGGATGAGAGACAGTGGGGCAAGAGATGCTGTGACAGCTATGGTGATGGAAAGGGACCCTGGTGTCTCTGTGGCTGGGAAGAGGAGAGGAAGATGCTCTTCAGCAGACAGAGAGCATCCTTTCCCAACTGACAGGAAAAGACTCTAGTTCTTTGATATGTTAACACCTCTTGATTGGAGGGTCTAGGTCTGGGCGTGTTTGAGCCTTTAGACCTGGAACTCAGGTTGGCCAGGGGCCTTGGAACACAGATGAGGTGGGGTCTGAAAAGGGGAGCTGTTTCCTTGTCTGGGAATTGGGTTTTGGAGTTCGTCAGGGGAGCTGCCTCTCTTGGGTTTTTTGCCGTGAAGTAAGACAGAGAAGAATGAGGCTAAAGATGTTTGCAGATGCACTGAGGAAGGGGGCATTGTGCAGCTAACAAAGATCAGATCTACCATGGATTGCAAGTACCTAGTTGGTGTGTTTATTTTGCTTAGTGCACCTAGATCCCTTCCTATAGTACCCTCAGTTTGTGCCTTATAGAAATAAAGTTGTTTAATCAGAGCCTGCACAAGCCTCTGGTTCTGGGCATGCTACAGTCCGGGGTCATTTCCTGCGGGAGCATACAGTAGCGGAGTTCCGGCAGTAAGGAGCCCAGGGGGCGGGCACATGCAACAAGCCCTGCTCCCAGCAGCCCTCAGTCAGGCCACGAGGAGCAAGAAGCAGCCAGGTAAGTTGCAGAGCCCCAACCCCCCAGCCCTCCTTCAGGTACAAGCTCTCCCTCCTCTGTGAGGGCAGATCTGCGCGCCCCCCCCCCCAGCTAGCAATCCAAAACAGTCCAGTGGAGCCTGAGTGGTAGGTGTTGCCTTCTGACAAACTTCCGGTGATGTCAGGGGGTGCAGCATATGCAAATAAGTTATGCTAATAAGTTATGCTAATGAGCTCCTGCACCTCTTTTTCTGTGAAATGACCCCTGGATACACTCCTGTGGAGAGGGGCTGGATTTTACTGAGGTGGTGGTGGCAACAGTAAAAAGGGAGAGCAAGACATGGCTAGTTGCCCCACAAGGTGACAGAGACCACAATAGTTTATAATCTGGGGCAAAGGCATTTGGGTAACAGAGATGAGGGGGTCTCTGTAGGCCCCCCAGTGCTCTCCTCCTATCACTCCCAGTTAGAAAAGAGGAGAATTAAATAGTATTCCTATTTATTAAATAGAATTCCTATTTATTAAAGTATTTTATTGTAGAGAAGCAGAAAGAGAATTTTCCCCAAAACACTAAATAAAGGAACACTTAGATTTGTGCTGTTTTGCAGTACTTGGATGAAATGGCAGTTACCATGCCAGGAGTCAATCCTACAAGTGCGAAAGACCTTTGCTCAGGGAGCTGATGCTGTCATTGAGTGTGTGGACCCTAGGCACTTTCCATGTTCTGGAGAAATCCCCCTACCTTCTGTGCAGCCATCAGATAAAAAACAGCCGCAAAGAAGCAACTGATCCTGCTTCTTTCAAAATTTCAAATGTCCCACCTTGCTGTCAGGCTCTGCCCTCCATGCCTCTGGGGCCTTGGGCTGATTGGAGCAGGGCCAAGCATAACATCATGTACCAGAGCCAAGTAACCACACCTCTGCCAGGTACCAAAGTTTATTAACTGAGAATCCCAGGAAGGTCTTGCAGACTTGACTAGACAGTGACTGGGATCCAGGAGCTCCTTTAGGCATACCCAGTGGTTTGGGCATGCCCAGAACAAAAATTTAACCTCACCCCCTTTTTTCCAATGGAAGACCCACAGGTCATTGCAGAAAACTACCACTGTTTCAAACTTTTAAAACAGATTTGACCTGCAACATGGAGGGGTTTTTTTTTTGGGGGGGGGGGGCTGCCACTCAAGAAACACACGTCCAAAGCTCTCTTTAAAGCGCTGAAGTAGTTGTGTGGTACTTTGTATTCAGTTGCGTGGTACTTTGTATTCAGGCCTAGGTAGTTGCTGTCTCCTTTGCAGACCCAGGTCAGAGAAAAGGCATTAAAGGCAACTTATTGTATGCGACTGGCAAAATTAAGCATAGGGAGTTCAATGTACATCCTTATCCAGTAAGACTGTTTTGCTGCACTTGGACAATTGGAGGTATTGTTACTGGATGTAATTTGTTAATCACTTGCTGTATTGCTGTTGAGCAAAGTTCGGTATGTGATGTTCAGCTGGTTACAAAGTTGTTAATTTCTGCAAGAACTTGGATTGCTTATAGAGGAAGGAAGCTGGAAATTCTAAAGATGTAGTGCTCCATTACTTAGGCTGCACCTGTCTTCTGCAGAGTAGTACATGCATCTGGTTCCTCTGTCTTTCTTCATCCATCTCCCATATGTGAAAAGCGATGTATTTATTTTATTTTATTTTATTTTATTTTATTTTATTCAATTTATACCCCGCCCTCTCCGCCGAGGCAGGCTCAGGGCGGCTTACATATATGCAGTAGCTAAAAACAACAGTATAATAAAAGCATTAAATCTTAAAACAACAGCATAAGGTGCTAGTAACAATATAAGTAACGATGGCAAAGGCAGAGTAGCATCAATGCAGTCGGTATTAGATTTTAGTGTCAGCGGAACTCAGGCTGTTGGTGATGGTGTTGGGCCCAGGGCCTTGGTGTATTGGGTGCAGCTCCTTAATTAAAGGCCTGGTGGAAGAGCTCCGTCTTGCAGGCCCTGTGGAACTGTAAATGTTTCCACAGGGCCCTAAGGCCCAGGAGCTCATTCCACCAGCGCGGAGCTGCTGCTGAAAAGGCCCTAGCGCTAGTTGATGCCAGCCTGATATCTTTAGGGCCCAGAAGGGCCAGACGGTTTCGGGATCCTGACCACAGTGCTCTCTGGGGAACATGTGGGGAAAGGCGGTCCCTCAGGTAGGTAGGCCCCTGGCCATAAAGGGCTTTAAAGGTAAGTACCAGCACTTTGAAGCTAATCTGGTATGCTATAGGCAGCCAGTGCAGTGCTTTTAGCACAGGCTGGATGTGCTCCCGCATAGGGAGACCCAACAACAGCCTGGCAGCTGCATTCTGCACTAGCTGAAGCCTCCGGATTTGGGTCAAAGGCAGCCCCATGTAGAGAGCGTTACAGTAGTCTAACCTCGAGGTCACCATTGCATGGATCACTGTCGCCAAGTCAAGGAAGGGAACCAACTGCTTGATCAGCTGAAGGTGATAAAAGGCTGACTTAGCAGTGGCTGCTACCTGGGCCTCCATCGTTAAGGAGGCATCCAAGAGCACTCCCAAGCTCCTAACCTCCGACATCGGCACCAACAGTGCACCGTCAAACGTCAGGAGTGGGATCCCTCGCCCCGCACCACCCCAACTCAGGCACAGGACCTCTGTCTTTGTCGGATTCAATTTCAATCGGCTCAGTCTAAGCCAACCAGCCACGGCCTGCAACGCCAGTTCCAGATCTCCCAGACTAGAGTCAGACTGACCGCCCAACAACAAATAGAGCTGGGTGTTATTTGCATACTGGTGACATCCCAGCCCATGCCTCCAGGCAATCTGGGCAAGGGGGCACATATAGATGTTAAATAACATTGGGGAAAGTATCATCCCTTGGGGCACACCACAAACAAGCGGGTGCCTTTGGGACATCTGTTCCCCCTAGGGCCACCCTTTGATCCTGAGGAAACGAGGAAAGCCACTGCAAGGCAAACCCCTGAATCCCAGCATCGGCGAGGCGGTGGATCAGTAGTTGGTGGTCGACCATGTCGAATACTGCCGACAGGTCTAACAACAACACTGCCGAACCGCCCCAATCCAGATGCCTCTGAAGGTCATCCGTGAGGGCGACCAGTACAGTCTCCGTCCCATGGCCTGGTCGGAAGCTGGACTGGAGGGGATCTAATACGGAGGTGTCATCCAAAAAACCCTGCAACTGAATCACCACAGCCCTCTCAATTTTCCCAGACAGGGCAAATTGGAGACCGGCTGATAGCTGGCCAATTCGACCAGGTCCAAGGATGTTTTTTTTAAGAGAGGGCATACGACTGCTTCCTTGAGTGCCCTGGGGAACACTCCCTCAGAGAGGGATTTGTTGATAAGCTTTAATTAGCCACGATGGGCATGGGTCAAGGTTGCAAGTGGTTGGGCGAACAGTTGAGAGTAATCTTCCTCCATCCTGAGCGGATTGAAATAATCCAAAGCCTGACAGGAAGACGTGTATGGAGCCTCAAGTTCACTTACTGTCTCAACTGTGACAGGGAGGTCATGACGAAGTGACTTTATCTGTGAAATAGCTTGCAAAAGCCTCACAGCCAATATCCAGTTCCTTAGCATTTAGTCTGCCCTGTGTCAGAGCACTTATGGACTGAATTGTTCTAACCAATTGGGCCGGATGTGAGCTCGCAGATGCAGTCGTAGCCACATAATAATCTCTCTTAGTGGCTTTGACTGCCATCTCATAGGATCTCATAAACGTCCTATAGGATGCTCTTGAAGCTTCGTCACGAGCATGCCACCACTGTCTCCCTAGCTGTCTCTCGCTTTATCAGCCACAGTTTCTGGGTAACCAAGGAGCCAGCCTAGAGCGAGGGCGCAGATGGCGTCAGGGAACGATCTCACAATGGCTGCGGAGAGTTGGCCATGCCAATCTTCCACTAGCTCATCTAACGAGCCGCCAGGGATGTCTTAAAATTAACTCCAGTTATTTGTGGTATCCAAATGCAGATTAACTAGTCAGTCTAGCCCTCCCCTTTCCCACTACAGTTAACAAATGCACCTGTATTTACACATACACATAACTGGAGTTTAAAACTAACTCACTCCATCACTTTCTAAGGGAGAGTCTAGCGCCTTAGGGTTGCCTGGCCTCTGCTGGGGGGTGGGAGAATCCCCACTCTGCTTCCCCCAGCACCAATCAGCTGGCCAGTGAGGGACTTACTGGCAACAAAAGAAGGCTTGGGCCTGTGTCACCAGTAACCCAGCAGTGTAACTTCAACACACCCACCAGAAATGAAACACACGCACCTCGTTCCTTCAGGATGTTGCCGGCAATGCAGGAATATTCTGGCATTTGGGGGAAAAACTCTATGGTAAAAATGATTTCTACCATAGAGTTTTTGTCCAAATTCCAGAGCATCCCTTCGGCACTGTGGTGATATCATTTCCAGTGCATGCCAGAAGTGATGTCACCAACAACACTGGCCTAGGCCTCTCTCAGTCTAGATATTGCAACATTATAAAAAAGTTTCAAGGTGCGAGTGTGTACTACAAGCTCAACCAGGAGTGTTAAACATATGGCCTGCCCAGGGCTTTAATCTGGCCTGCGACTCCCCCCCCCCTCTTGCCCTTCCCTTCCCTTCCAAGCTGCCTCTGAGTGTGGAGAGCAGTGGGTGGGGCTGCCGAACTTCCCTCATCTTCGCTGGCTTCTCCTGTGCCCACATGGATCTGCTAGAGTTGTTGATTTACTGAAGTTTGCTGGCGAAGGGGGAGGGAGCTTGGTTACAAAAGTTGTGCTTCCCGATGGAGGCTTTTCTCTTGTGTTCATTGAGCTAAGGAGCCAGGTGGGTCTATCCCTGGCAACTCCAGTTAAAAGGACCAGGCTGTGACTTATTATGAGAAAGGCTTCAACCTGAGACCCTGGAGAGCCACTGTGACTCTGAGTAGACCGGGGGGGGGGGCTTGCAATGCCCATCCATTTCATGTTTTCCCCTGGGTCCTAGACTCAGAGTATTGACCACAAGAGGAGGCTGGGGGAAAGAATCTGCTCCCCACTCCAGGCAGTACAGGGGCATCAGCCTAGTGCTGCACTGTATCTTTAATTGTGTTTGTGTCCTTTTATCTCCGCTACCTGGTATTACATTTTATAACAAACATGGCCTGGCCGACAAAGTCCCATTTATGTAAGATCCGGCCCTTATAACAAATGAGTTCGACACCCCTGTGATGATGCAGAGGCCATTATCAAAGATCTGGACTGAATCCTGGTCTCCCCGTACACTGTTCTGTTTTGAGTAGACACAAAGAATGGCATGAGAACAGTTGTGGTTAACGCAGTGCTGTTTTTCCCATGGAGCCCTTGCTCTTGAATGAAGTTCTGAGCTTTCTGAATGAAAGGGTGGTAAATCTTGCAAATGAAGAGGCAAGGAATGCAGGCGAGATGGGCAGAAAACAATTATGTTGTGCATCTTCTGTTTTCCCACAGAGTCTTCTACAAGGTGAAAAGCCGTAGCGCTCACATGAAGAGCCATGCTGAGCAGGAGAAAAAGGCAGCTGCTCTGAAGCAGCGAGAGAAGGAGGAAGCCGAGGCGGCGGCAGCAGCGGCAGCAGCTCGCAGCCAGGCACAACGTGAACAGAGCAGTGACAGTGGCGGCAGCAGTGGCAGCAGCAGCTCCAGCTCTGATGAAGATGGAGAGGCTTAGCGAAGGGGCCGAGGAGGCTGAGAGCACAGCCAGGCTGGAGCACCTGACGCTTCACACACTTGCATCTGTACTTTTCCTCATCTAGGCAGATTCCAAACTCCTTCCTTCCACTTGCCTTGCTAAATACTGCTGGAGTTGAACTGGTGGATTAAAAGTATAATATGTGACCTTGAAATTTTTATTTTTGAAAAAGAGCCAACATTTTATGAATCATTTTATTTATAAATTGAAGAAATGACTACAGAGTAGGACTCAGTTTTCCTTCCATACAAACCGACCTTTCTTGTACTTATCAGGAATTGTAGTAAGCCTTAGGCATGACATCCACACCTGAGGAGAAGAAGAATGTGCAGAGACTAAATGTGTCTAAATGTTGACACAAGTGACTTTAAGAACTTTCCTAAATAACTCAAGGAATCCATAACTTTCCCTCCAACTGCTGTTTCCTGTCTTATAGTTTTTTGTCCAGTTCCACACTTGCTACTGGTATCAGTCCATCTACTTAGCGATACAAGCAATAAAGGTTTTTCCTCCTCTTTCACATATTTTCTACAGCAGGTAGGTGCCAAAACAAGCCTTTTTTTGGACATGACAACCCCCCCCCCCAAGACTTGAGAGAACAAACCTTCAAAAGACACAAGAAGCAGCATAATTAGTATTCTTTCTCACAGAAGCTGGCCCTTCACCTTTGGGGGGGAAACGCTACAGAGAGCTGATTGTATTTTTGCACACTTGTTGCAAATTAAAGCAGACCTCAACAACTGGGGAGGCCGTAGGCCAGTGTGAGAGTACAGGTGGTGTTTGCACAATGGCCCAGGTTCAATCCCTAGCATTTTCAGATTAAAAGTATCTCAGGTAGCAGGGTTAGGATAGACTCACGCCTTGGGATGTTGGAGAGCCATTGCCAGTCGGTATAACACTAATGGTCTTGGTAGACCAATGGTCTGACTTCCTGTAAGGCAGTTTTGTATGTTCCTTATATCATGGCTGCTATGGTCTTTTTGCCAAGATACAGTACTGAGAATCCCTTTGGAACCCTCTGTGAAACTGCCTTGCTTTGTATCTTTTGAGAAGTTGGGTATGTTACGGCTTACTTTCCTTTCTCATTTTACCCAGTCCTTTATAAATATGCCACAAAGGAATAGCCAGTCTTAAAAGATGACAGTTGAAAAGTTGTACTACTTTAAAAAAAATTATTCTGAAACACCATCTGAGGAGGGTCAGAAAAATATGGACAAAATAAGAATTCATTTTTTTTCATTCATTCCTTCTGCATTGGAAGAGCTCCGTGGCTGGGCTGTGTTCAGAATGTTCTCTTGTAGCACTGCAGACACTGGAGAGATGGGAAAAATCAAAGACCTCGAGTAGGTAACGAACAAACAAATTGAGATTTTCTGCGATTAATGTTGAACTCGCCCACAATTTTGCTGTAAGGAATACAGTATTCTCAACTTGTGTATATGTGACTCAATACAATGATTGTAGTGGGCTGGGGTGAGTGGGCTGGGGCAGGGCAGGGCAAAAGGCACCTCAGTAATTGACATGCAGAGGATGCTTAGCAGATTGTTGATAAAGTACCTACAGTTATATAACTGCCAGTGGTAATGCTTTATTGCTTGTGAGCATTTGAAAATGTCTGGCAGTCAATTAAGACTCTCTGCAGCTAAGTGGGCAGCTGTATGTGATGCTCAGCAAATAGGTCTGTAAACTTACATCCAGGAAGGTATGAGGATTCTCCCCTAAAATACTGTAGAAATTCTAAATATTCATTTAGTGTCTATTATGCAAATTTGTTATTTCACTTGCATATTTCTGTTTCGAAAAAGAATGTTACCCCTTTTAAAAATCGAAAGCTGTGTCAGTGGAGGGAAAGGAGGCATACAACCGTTAGTTCTTACTATCTCTTTGGGGTGTGTGTGTGGGGGGGAACTCATACAGATTATATCTGGGATATATTCAGTGCCCCAAGCCAAATTCCTGTATTATCTTGAGATAGTGAAATGTCCCCTTGCCCTCATGAAAGAAAATTGGGTGTGGTGGCAGAAGCCCACAACACCCAGAGCCTGTTTCAAACACCTGAAGCCTTTCATGTGCGGTGTAAGGTTTTTGTTGAGTAGATTCCTCCCCACCCCACACACTTTGTATATTTGATAACTTGCACCAGTTCTGTGGAATGTTACCAGGCCATCTTCCTATGAAAAGAAGGAAGGGCTCTCAAAAGCACTTTATGATCAAACTCAAGGGAGATTTTTTTGCCTCAGTGCCACCATCCCCATCCCTCTAAATTCTATTGTTCGAGACAAAGTAATATCCTGATCACAGTTTCAGTTGATAGGGTTGTTTTTTGTTTACAGAAAGAAAACTATAAGTGTTAAAAATAAACAGGGGCGTTGTGGTATCTTAGGCCACAGTTTTTAAAATTCCAGCTCAAGCTTTTGTAAACTGGAGCCCACTTCCTCAAATACTTATCAGTGGATCCTTTTTGTTAACAAGTTACCAGAGCAACTCCACACCCATTACAGATGTTAACTATCTTAGTATAAGTAGTGAATTGTATTATTCCTGAGTAGAATTTTGATGGAAAGCGCCATCAAGTCACAGCTGACTTCCAGCAACCCTGTAAGGTGTTCAAGGCAAGAGACATTCAGAGGTGGCTTGCCATTGCCTACCTGCATGTCATGATCCTGGTTCCTTGGTTGATATCCCACCTAAATACTAGCCAGCGCCAACCCTGGTTAGCTTCCACAATCTGACGAGAGCGGGCTATCCTGGGCTATTCAGGTCAGGGCAAGTAGAATTTTACATAATTACATTTTACCCTGTACTTCCTGCATTTCATAGCTCCTTGATCCTGCTGTTTTATTTTTTCAAACCTTCTACAGAAAACGACTGCATAGTGAGGATCCAGACATTATCACCTAAAGAAGGGATAAGAGAGTTTATTCTGGAATCTTGTAAGATGCTGCCTGTTTGGTTTGGGTTTTTTTTTTGCTGCAGCAGACTAACATGATTATTCCTCTGTTAAGTTTGCTGTACTTTGGGGGCAGTGAAGTGTTCCCACACGTGCAAGGACTTCTGCCCTCACATTAACTTTCATGGCTCTCTTCCCATGGCTGCTGCCCCAAGTACAGTCTGAAATGCTGCTCCTGGGGGGGAAGGGAGACCCAGGAGCCAGATAGAGGGAGAGATGTCAGGCTGCCACAGGAGGAGGAGCTCTAGAAGTCCTTGCACACATGGATATGCTGTGCTGGATCCACCCGATAGTCTACTAGTGTGCATGTGACAATGACCTAAAATGAAAAAGTGGTAGAGGCACTTCTTTATGCATTTTGCAAAAAAAAAAAAAAATGCAAACAGAGGAATTTCATTACAGAAGATTTGTAAATGGAGGTACAGCAGGCATGTATTTAGATTTTTCTTTACAACCCTGAAAGGCAGAAACTTTTCTCCTGAATATGAAAGCTTTTGAGACTTCTTTAGAATATACTCTATGTTGGAAGTTTCAATGAGCAATTCACAATAAGACTGTGTCCCAACAATCTTAGATTGCAGGCTTCTGGAGATATATATGTAGATGGCTGCAGCAAAAGTAGCCATATTATAGTTAACCTTTGGATTTAAATCCTTCTTTCTCAAATGAGATTGAGCTGTCAGGGAGATGGGTTGTTTTTTACTACATGCTAGGATGATTTCTATATGGTGCACGATCAAGAGCTGACCATGTAATCTGACTGCAGTTGTGTTCTGAAAGGGGTGGCCCAGGACTCAGTTGCCAGTGCTTTCAATTTGCATGCCTAATGTCCTTGGCATTTCCAGTTTCAAGAATGTCAGATAGTAGAGTTGGGAAAGCTGCTGCCAGTCACAGGAAGACAGAGCTGAGCTAGATGGACCAATTGTCTGACGGTGTAAGGCAGCTTCATTGTTCACTTTCACAGGAGAGAAACATCTTGGCACCAGTCTTTGGATTTGTTCAGTGGCAGCATAAGGCAAGTCAAACTCTTCTTTTTAAATGGAGTCTTTCCAGCACTTTGTGCTCTGTGAAAAGCGTAGCACTTGGTGTCTAGAAGCACTTCACACTCCTCCGTCAACTCACGAGTAGTTTTTAGAATCTGACAGGATCCTTCCCCACCTTTCTGTTGAGTTTGATATTATTCAGCAGCCTGAGAATCTCTGCTACACAAAACGTTTCATTTTGTAACAGTTGATTATTAAGACACTATAGAGACTATAGTTAGAAATCAGCCTATTTTCCTAGAACATTGCAACTGAGCTGCATGCTGCCATAGCACATTTGGCAAGACTGTATTTTAAGGTCTTGCAGAGGGGATAGTATGTCTAGAAACATATGAGTTGGAAATTGCGCCATCCTTTAATTGGGCACACAGATCAGCTAACTGTAGTGCTCCCTGGCTGAACTGTAGTTACAGGGTCGAATGCTATTAATCTGTTATGTAAACGGTGGAAGAGGTGTGTTCTATTGGTGGTTCTGTTAGTGAAACTGATTCCTAGGAGCCAGTCCAGGGAACAGAATGTTGGGCAGTTAGCATCCTATTTATCATACAATAAGCCTGCAATCCTATACATACTTGTATGTGTAAAGTGCCATAAAGTCACAGCCAACTTATGGCGAGCCCAGCAAGGGGCTTTCAGGGCAAGTGAGAAGCAGAGGCGGTTTGCCGTTACCTTCCTCTGCTGAGTCTGTCATGGTGGTCGCCAATCCAAGTACTAACCCTGCTTAGCTTCTGAGATTGGGCTGTATCATGCTGCCTTCCCTCCCAATGAAAGTGATGTGGACATTGTTTATCCATATGTGTTTTGATCAGCTTCCAGCTCTTTTCTGCTTGTTACCATACGGTTGTAGTCTAGTGTGTATGTGGGGGGAAACTAACCATTGGAGCTTTTTTGCTGCTGTCGCAAACATTTGTACCCTAAGATCTTTTTCCATTCAAGCCTTCCCACTAGTGTGGTTTCACACCAGTTAAGTACTAATGTGCACTTTATAGTACTTAGTAAGTGTCTGGGAGGTAGAAACAGCACAAATATTTGTCCCTGTGGCTCTGCTTCCCCCCCTCCCAAGGAACTGTCTGAAAAGCTTCCACTTGGATTCAGCTGCTACTTTTATCCCATAACATTTGCCACCATGCAAAGGCTGAAATCCTCCCGGCACTGGGTGCAACTGCTACGCATTTCAGAAGGCTGCTTGGGATTCCTGCCCAAGCCGTGTTGAAATGAGTGAAGATTTTGTGGCTGGCTATAGTGCCAGAGAGACTGTGGCCCTAATCTTCAGCTGCTTACATTTCCTCTCCCCCCTCCCTGCCCATCCTTCTGAAACATGGGGTTTGTATCAACAGCTGAGGCTATAAAGATCCCAGCTGCTTCTGTTCAGGAGACAAATATATATATTTTTGTAAAATGTATTTGAGCTTGGGTTTTGTTTTTTGTTTTTCTGTTTTTTAAAAAAGCACCTCTTTACAATCTTCAAGTTTTATGGTGATTCTCCTGAAGCTCACATTTGGTACAAATTGGCTGTTCTTGGGTGTAAGTTTAATTTGTAACGCTGGAGCTTTTTGCGTATTGTACAGAAACAGTCTCTTTGTAAGTATTGTATAAATGCTTTATTAAAGTATAGAGCT